ATCACGAAGGAAATGCTGGGAAGACGCGGCAGCCTGCAATACAGAAAGCCAGAAGCCATGGCAAGGATCTGCAGGTTGAAGTCAGAATCTGGGCACTTATTTCTGATACAACACGAAGAGATGCCCCTCAAAAGTAGTAGAGGGAATGTGTTCCCTCAGCTCACTACATACCTAGCTGTATTTAAGAGTTCAAAAGATGAGACTATCAATCACCCTGACTGATAAGTAAGAATAGAGGTTGGATAGAGGGAAAAGATGTGACTACAGAATTAAATGTTTAGGATTTAAACATTGCTGTGCCATAAGAGCCTGGAACAGAGCTGCCTGCATAGGCAGAAAGTGATGCTCTAAGAGGGAACACTTACCTTGGCTCAGCAGCCTCTAATGAGGTGGAATGTGAAAAAAAAGTCTTCACTGATTCTAAAATAGGAATTAGAGAAGAAAAAGTCAAGTGCTGAACAGATGGGAGGAACCCACTCTCTAAACCTAGAAGGAGTGAATGGGCACAGATTACCCAAACGCTTCCAAACTGACAGCCAGCAGTAGATGAGAGGCGAGCTATAGGCACTGGGACCACAGTGGTGCTTGAGGTGGCACCAGGCTGGTTCTCCGAGCACCCTGGAGCCAGAACACCCATCGCCTGCCTGCAGAAAGCTGCAGTGGTCTCAGACACACCAAGCTGCACAGATCTTTGGATTCTGAGGGGTTTATATGGTTTCAAGACTTTCCTTCCATCTCTGCCAAAACCCAAGAGAAAAGAACCTTGACGATGGCAGTTGAGGTCTCTGTGGGAGCCATGAAAAATTTCTCTTTGCCAATTGTGGCAGTCTGGTTTGTGTTATATAATACTAGTTCTATACGGGCAAAAATATACTTATGGCTACATGCTTTGGGAAAAAAACACATTTGAATTCATTCTTTGTTGAAATATAAAGAAGAAAAAATTACTACCTTTAAATCTATTAACGTATTTTCAATTATTATTCAATCTTCAGCTTACTTGAAACAGGAGTTTTATCAGTGCTCAAAAAGATATTAATACTCAAAGTACTTATCTTGTTACACTTTAGTAAATTTTTTAATTAAATTTTTTGTCATAAATGCTTGTGCCATAATTGTGTGCTAAATAAATTTATCATGATGGGATCATCATTACTTTGGCAGCTGCCTTTGGGAGCCACTTGAACAATATTTTACATTTTTGGACTTAACCCTAGTTCACTAAACATCACTTTTC